GTTTGTGGAAAAAATGCTTTTAAAAGCCTCTGACGATCCCAGCTGAGCTACGTGATCATCAGACTTTTTTTTTTACTTTTAAAAGCATTTTTTCAGTTGAAGAGGTTGTAGAAAAAATGCTTTTAAAAATTAAAAAAAAGCCTCTGATGATTGCGCAGCTCAGCTGAGCATGGGGGGGGGATTTTTGCTACTGGTTCTCCGAACCACTTGCAGCCATCGCTACTGGATCGGGTGATCTGGTCCAAATCGGGAGCATTTCACCTCTGCTTTGTTGTGGGTAAGTGACTGGTTACATCTCAAAAATAGAATATTATTGACATTAGAAGGTATGATCTTCAAATAGGGTGGCACACTATCCTCTGGGAGAAGTATAAAATCCACCAGTACTTCCAAAGGCATTACATCAGGAGGGCACTTTAGATACTTGGATCAGGACTAAAAAAATAGCTATATAGAAGTCCCCAATTGGATATCGATAGTAGAAATGCTCACGCATCCGAATCTCATCGAAGTAGGAGGTGTTGTTACATATATAGAACTACTAAATGAGAAAGGAGAACTGAAATCAAGGAATTATTTAAAGGAAGGGGGAATTGAATTAGAATGGTGGGCATATCTACAAATACAATCCAAATTTATGAAGGATAAAAAGGAATGGGGGTATAAAAATAGAATAAACAGAATTGGATAAAATTTTACTAAGTACGGAGAGTAAGGCCATAAAGAAATTATACCATTATCTATTAGAACAAGACATGCTTAAAGAACAAGTAAAGGAGACTATGATATCCTAGAGTAAATGTTTTGGTCATAGTATTGATTTGGATAATTGGATGAATCTATTGGGAAAAAATATTAAAATTACATTGGCAACCTCATATAAAGAAAACCTGTATAAAATGTTTTACAGGTGGCACTTCCCACCCACAAGATTGACAAAAATTAGTAAAAAATATTCTTCAAGATGTTGGAAATGTGACTTGGTCCTAGGGTCCTATTACCATATGTGGTGGGAGTGCTCGAAAGCAAAAAGTTTTTGGTATCAAACAAAAAGCTGGCTAGAAGAAATTTTAACAATTAAAATAAAAGGCAAACCAGGATTTTTCTTATTGGGAATGACAGATGGCAAATATAATAAAAATGTAACCTACCTAATATTAGATACAGCTGCAAGAATAGCATTTGCTCAGAAATGGAAGAATAAAGAAACACCTTCAGAAGAAGTGTTATGTAAAATCTTCAATTGTGCAGAAATGGACAGACTCACTTTGGAACATAAAAATAAAAGCGAATCAATATATTATGAAATCTGGACTAAATTTTATGAATGGTTAGACAAGAGGAAGAATGCTAAGAAGAAAGTGTAGTGAATGTCTAGAAATATATATGTCAATGTATACTGAACTTGTGTGTGTGATATAGGTTTATTGGATATGGATATAGTTGTTTAGGAGGAATTATGTAGTATGCTTGACATATAATGAAGTAAGATATATGTAAATTTGTATATAGATTAAGGAATATATTATTTATTAATTTGAATTAGACAGAAATGTTAGAAACCGGAGATGTCAAACCATGTCCATTGTTTTTTAAATTTGAATTATTAATAAAAAACTTTAAAAAAATATTTCGAATAGAAGAGTATGTAAGAATATGTCAATTAGAGTTAAGGAAAATGGATATAAAGTGATATGGAGGTGGTACTTAACACCAAGTAAACTAAATCAAATAGATGGTAAATATATAAATATTTGTTGGAGATGCAAGAAAGAGATTGGAACATATAAACACATGTGGTAGAATTGTGACAGTGCACAAAAAATATGGGACACGGTGTTTAGAGAAATTAGAGCACTTTTGAATGTAAATTTACATATGTCACCAAGAATTGCATTATTGTTGCTGGTGGAACAACGGGATATAAAAGAAACAAAAAAAGAAATATTGTAAATTTGATAATGGCAGCTAGATTAGTGATGGCTAAATATTGGGGACGAAATTGGAATATTCAAAGAAATGAATGGTATGATGAAATTTGGAGTAAGGCAACAAATTATAAATTAACAACAAAAATTAAATTTAAAAAAGGGATGATTAAAGCAAACAATTATAATGAAATATGGGGGGATTTTATAAAATCAGTGTTGATGGAAGGCAAAGGGAATAAACCTACTCAAGAATATATGTTGTTTTGGAGGGGATAAGGGCACAATTAGAATATATTGTATATCTTTTAACTGTTATAGAAGAAGAAATATAAGGGGAGGGGGGAATGGTCTCCGGGGGTGGGGGTACACTGTAATATTTGTAATTTTTTTCTTTTTCTTTTCTTTTTCTTGTATTTAGATGTATATATGTATGTTTGCATTGTTTGCATTACTTGTATTTAAAATAAATAAAATTTATTATAAAAAAAGAGAAATAAATGGGGTTTTTAAAAAAGGAATTTTTTGCCTGGGAAAACATCCATCAATTGCCCTCCCTAATGAGGGGTGGTTCTAGGAAAATAGTAAGTTAGATCATTGAAGTAGTGGGTCTACTCATCTCCTAGAACCTGATCCATGGAGAGTGGAACATACAGTAGTCATTTTGCATTCTTTTTTTTAATTAGGAAGTACATAACCAACATGTAGATTGCTTGCAACACTTGACTCACATGAAGATGAAGGGATGAAGGTACAATTATAAAATGATTTAACAATAAATAAAGGTATTGCTTATTGATTGATTGATTAAATGCCATCAAATCAGTGCTTTTAAAGTCATATTTTGCTTTCATAGAGTGTCACTCTAGGAGAAATAAGTATTGGCATAGTGTAAAACAATACTAACACAAGTATTAAGAGGCAAATAGCCATAAAAGCATAGTATTAAAAAGGGAAAACAACAAAAGCATATACATACACAAATTTGACTAGAACAGAAAAAAAAAGAGAGAAGTTTATTTTAAAAAAGAGAATAGAGTAATGTTAAATGACTCTGACCAGTAAAAAATGAAAGAAAAGAAAGGAAGTGTTTGTGGGAATTTTATTTTTATGATGCTTGTTGAAAAAAAACACAAGGAAATAGTTAAAATAATTGGAAGAATAGCTTCAGTATTACCTCTAAATGAGGATGTGTAAAAAGCAATGTTTCAAGATTGGGAAGTTCTAGAGAACTCCAGGAGGTTCTGGTTTTTCTTACAGTTGAAACACTTTGCTAGTTTTCAAAAAGTTAACATTCCAAACTCATTTTGAACTCAAGGTAGCTAAATGGCATTCAAGCTAGACCAGTAGTGGGTTGCTCCGGGTTCTGTCCGGTTCTTGTGAATCGGTAGTAAAAGTGGTGGGAGGCTTCGTCCACCTGCCCTGAAGTCATAATAGGCGATCTACGCATGCTTAGCATGCTCTAATCCTTTCAGTATTTTTCAATCAGATGATGAAGGACTAAGCACTGATCTATGGTGCCTCTCTCCTCTCTAAACCTGGCTTGCTCAACGATCAAATTCTCAAGATACAACAACTCCTTTAATTTATCTTGGAGGTGTTTGGTGTAGAGTTTGCTGATTGTATTTAGCAAACTTATTGGTGTGTAATTGACAGGGTCATCTCTTTTTCCCTTTTTAAAAATTGGGACAATTGCCAAGCCCCAATCTTCTGGGACATGGCCAATGGAGTCGATATAAGTTATAGCACCGTCAAAACTGGTATCCACCACTCCGAATTGTTCTTTAATAATTCAGCAGAAATGAAGTCAGCTCCTAGGGCCGTGATGGCGAACTTATGGCACGGATGCCACAGGTGGCACACGGAGCCATATCTGTGGGCACGCGAGCTTTGCCCTACCTCAGTCCAGCACACATGTGCACGCTGGCCAGCTGATTTTCGAGCCTTCCGGGCCCACTGGAAGTCGGGAAACAGGTTGTTTCCGGGCCTCCGGAGGGCCTCCGGGGTGAGGGGAAGGCTGTTTTCGCCTTCCCCAGGCTCCTAGAAAGGCTCTGGAGCCTGGAGAGGGCAAAAAATGGGCCTACCAGGGCAAACGTGCCATCGTGTGCCAAAAGCGGGGGAAGAGCGGGGAGGTCATGTGTGCATGCGTGGGGGGATGGGGCGCATTGAATTATGGGTGTGGGCACGTGCACACGCAATTCCCCCCCCACTACCCCCGCTTTTGGCACGCGATGGCAAAAAGATTAGCCATCACTGTCTTAGGGCCTTCCCAGTTCTAAGTTGGCCAATGAGTGATTTAATTTCGGACTCTGAAACTGGGGGCCATTTAGATAAATCCTTCACTGTACACCTTATACTCTCACTAGAGGAGTCTTCATACATTCTCTGAAAGTGAAGTTCCCATGTTGTAGGAGGTATATGGGTGTCTGGTCCAGCTATATGCTTGGCCCATTGTTTTTATTGTTTGATCACTTGTTTTTTGATATATTATATATACAAATGTATACATCATTTGTTTCTGTTTCTGATAAAAGGATTTGATGTTCCCATAATAAATGCTTTTTGCTTTGCTTGAATTACTTAGTGATTTCTATTTTCCCGCTGACAAAGATGCCTCTTTGCAAAACAAAGTGTCTCTTTCTCTCAAATTTGGGGATCAAATTCTTGATAGCTCGAACCAAATGTCAAGTTCAAGATGCCTGAGTTTGTAGGCAACACTTGGGAAAAGATTGGAATGGGATAAATACTGAAATTAAACAAACATTAACATTACCACAAAACTCCAGTGAAATTCCCAAACCTTGGTGAACCAATGCATTTATTAAGCCAAGTCTCAATCATAAAAATATATATTAGTATATTAGTATTCAAGAACTTTGATTTTTGCAGTGACACACACACAAAAACTACTAGCTTTTCAGTAAAGTGCTTATGATTTGCAGTTAAAGGGTTAAAAAAAAATTTGCCCGGAAGAGCAACGGGAGTTATTTTGCCTCTGTGAATCATGGGAATCGTAGGAAAATATGGAGATACTAGCGATATTATGGCTGCCTTGAGTTTGAGGTAACGTGCGTTTGTCTTTCGTTGGAATAATGCCACCCCCTTTCCTCCATCCACAACCTCGCGCAAGCGCCCCGATAAAGGTGATTTCTTTTCCAGAAGATGACTGGTGGAAGCTGATCTATCTACTTTGTTTTTGGGTGTCAATTCCTTATTGCAACAACTTTTTAATATTTTCACTTGTTGCTTTTTTTTCCTGGATGCGCTGCAGTGTCCTAGCTGTGATGATTGTTGAGCGGCGAGACTTAATAGAACTAAAATGGCAGGGAAAAAGAATCTCATTTTACTTTTTAGCATAACTTAGTTCACACAGACCTTAGTTTCTTTTTCGCCTTGTTCCAAGCGACGTCCTGGTCATTTTAGTTCGTCACTTTGCAGTTATCGTTCTGCAAAGTGCCTTTGCAGGGCCTTTGCATTTCTAGGGAAGCAACTAATTAATGCGAGCAGGATTCTTCTCTCATTTGCTTCCGTTTAAGTCAAACTATTGGCTGCAGTTCTTTTGGTTGAGAAAATATTTGCTGGAGTGTACCTGGTGTTTAACTTGTGATAAAACATGTTGGGGCACAACTGGGCTGTTGAATAAACAGTGGGCTGGATTAATTGTGAGTAAAAGTATGATCAAATGGCCCTAAGACAGCAGAAATGTGGAAAGGAAATTTGCTGTTTAAAGAAAAGTCAGGATTCCCTTGGCTGCTTTGTTTTCTCACCTAAATATCATGTGCTGACAAGAGGACAACAACAAATCAATCTCCCTTGGGTGGGTGAAGTTGGGCAAAGAGAGACAGGTATATTTAGCTACCTGTGAAGTTGCTTATCAGGTTGCTGACATGGACATGTTCCACTCCTGTGACTTGCCAGTTGGGCTATTTCTGAACACAGATCTAGTGCCCAATTAATAGAATGAAAAACTTGCAGGCTTCCCACACAATGAATTTTCCCTAGCCTTTTCACAACTTTGGGTATTTTTTTCAAAATTTATTCACTCTACAATTATTTTTGAAATGTGAGCTAGCAGATCTGAATTCAACCAGTTATGCTTAATTTATTTTTAATTCTTTCTGTAATGATCCTCATCACAGGATTGGCTTTTGTCACTCAGGCAAAATTGACCACAACTGAAGGACCACAATACTTCTTAGCTCAGACCACATATTTTACAACAGTTTGAGTTACTTAGAATTGACTATGTTGGGCTGCATTTGTCATTTCAGTATACATCTCCATAGTGTGCAGACAACTTTATTATTCCTTTCTTTTCTGAATATAGAACACATTAAAAACCATTTATGTGCCAGTTCCAAGTCACCTAAACCTGAACTACAAACCCAATTCATTCCACAATATGATCTTAGAATTGACAATGAAGATACTCAAACACACTGTATTTTCTGCCTGTCAACTGTAAAGGAACTAGCAGTCAAGAAATATGCTGACACTTCATAGGGTTGCAATGAAAGCATTGAAAATGATACTTAGATGTTTTATTTATGGTGTATCTCTATGCCTAACTTTGTCATGGCCCGCAAACTGAATCTATGGCATTAATTTTAGTGATGGGGTTTTTTTTGTTTCTTCCTCCCAAAGGGTGCTAATGGATACATATCTACTTGTAGTTTTAAACTCATTTCAAACTTTAAAAGAAAATTAAAAAGACTTCTTATGTCACCATATTTTGAAATAAGTTTTTAGGACCTTTCAGAAGCCTAACAGTTAAACATTTAAAAATGCAGACGCCTAAGATGAAAACCTTGATGATTTTTGTCTTAACCTTGAGAAATTTATAATTTGAGGAAGGGAAAAAACAACATTAAACATGACTTTTAAAAATTAGAATGTTAGCAATTGTAACTCTAAATATTGTTTTTTTCTAGACTTAAAGATTCTGAAGAGGTGACTATTTACCACTAACTTAACTGACAACATGAACTTTCACCTAGCTACGTGAGAAATTGAAAAGAACAATCTCCACATTTTAGTTTCAGCAATGGCAAGAAGTAGTGGTGAAACTCAGTTACAGAGGATTATCCGGGATATGCAGGGTAAATGTCACTTGTTTATTTATCTATTTATTTATTCCATGACGAATGTCACATCCTTTTATAGGAAAACAAGAATATTCCCATGATACAAAGAATAAGACTATGTAGGCTCTTGAATGTTACAAGTATCCCATGGAATCTTCTTTAAATTCTACACTTGACTTGTACTTAAAGTGACTTGTACTAAGTACATAAATGCTCACCAGGCACCTCAGAAATTAATTTTATAGTCAAGTAGGAAGAACATTTGCATAACTTGTGTTCAGTTTTAAGTAGTCTTTGCAAGTTGGCCATAATATGTAGCTGGTTTTATTTAGTTGTTTTATTTTATTTATTTATTAAATTTATTTATTTTATTTTATTTATTAAATTTTTATACCGCCCTTCTCCCGAAGGACTCAGGGCGGTGAACAGCCAAGGTTAAAATACATACAGTATGGAAATTAAAATAATTTTAAAAATAATTAAATCAATTTGGCTTCCCAATTTTAAAACCCCTTACCCATAAAATTAATCAATTAAAATCTTAAACCAGCCCGGCTCGCTGAAACAAGAAAGTCTTCAGAGCCCGGCGGAAAGTACGGAGGTCCGGGATCAGTCGTATCCCTGGGGGTAGTTTGTTCCAGAGGGTGGGTGCCCCCACAGAGAAGGCTCTCCCCCTGGGGGTCACCAGTCGACATTGCTTGACCGACGGCACCCTGAGGAGACCCTCTCTGTGGGAGCGTATTGGCCGGTGGGAGGTTATTGGTGGCAGAAGGTGGTCTCGTAGATATCCAGGCCCTAAGCCATGGAGCATCTTAAAGGTGAGAACCAAAACCTTGAAGCGCACCCGGAAGACCACTAGAAGCCAGTGCAGCTCGCGCAGGAGAGGTGTTACATGGGAGCGCCATGTCGCCCCCATAATCATCTGCGCGGCTGCATTCTGGACCAGTTGGAGCCTCCGGTGCTCCTCAAGGGGAGCCCCATGTAGAGAGCATTACAGTAATCCAGGCGGGAAGTAACGAGGGCATGAGTGACCGTGCATAAGGAGTCCCGATCCAGAAAAGGGTGCAACTGGCGTATCAGGCGAACCTGATAAAAAGCCCCCCTGGCCACGGCCGTCATATGCTCTTCTAAAGACAGCTGTGCATCCAGGAGGACGCCCAAGTTACGGGCCCTCTCCATGGGGGTCAATGACTCGCCCCCAATAGCCAGCGATGGCACCAGCTGGCTATATCGGGATGCCGGCAACCACAGCCACTCGGTCTTGGAGGGGTTGAGTCGGAGCCTGTTCCTCCCCATCCAGACCTGCACGGCCTCCAGGCACCGGAACATCACGTCAAGGGCATCATTGGGATGGTCTGGGGTGGAGATGTACAGCTGAGTGTTGTCAGCATACAGATGGCACTGCGCCCCAAAAACATGGATGATCTCACCCAGCGGCTTCACATAAATGTTGAACAGGAGAGGCGAGAGGACCGACCCTTGCGGCACCCCACACACAAGGTGCCTTAGGGCTAGGGTTAGGACCTCTCCTAACCCTAACCCTAACCCTGCCAACACAGACTGCGACCGGTCGGAGAGATAGGAGAACCACCGTAACACGATGCCTCCCACTCCTAACCCCTCCATCCGGCGCAGCATGATACCATGGTCGATGGTATCAAAAGCCGTTGAGAGATCTAATAGGACCAGGACAGAGGAGCACCCCCTGTCCCAAGCCCTCCAGAGATCATCGACCAATGCGACCAATGCCGTTTCCGTGCTGTACCCAAGCCTGAAGCCGGACTGGAACGGATCTAGATAGACAGTTTCAACCAGGTACTGCAGGAGCTGTCGCGCAACCACACTCTTAACAACCTTTGCCACAAAGCGAAGGTTGGAGACTGGACAGTAGTTTGCCAAAACAGCCGGGTCCAGAGAGGGCTTCTTGAGGAGGGGCCTCACCACCGCCTCTTTCAAGGTGGGGGGCAGGAAACCCTCACTCAAAGAAGCATTAATAATCCTCTGGAGTCAGCCTCGTGTAACCTCCCGGGTAGCCAGCACCAGCCAGGAGGGACACGGGTCCAATAAACATGTGGTTGCGTTCAACCTCCCCAGCAACCTGTCCACGTCCTCTGGAGTCACAGGGTCAAACTCATCCCAGATAACATTCTCAAGACCCACCTCAGACATCCCGCCTGAACCCACCCAGTCATAATCCAAGCCTTCCTGAATTTGAGCAATTTTATTGTGCAGATAATGCACAAAATCTTCAGCTCGCCCTTGCAAGGGGTCTTCCCGCGCTCCCAGGTGGAGAAGGGAGCGGGTCACCCTAAACAGAGCAGCTGGGCAGTTATCTGCCGACGTGATAAGAGCGGAAAAGTAGTTACACTTCGCCGCTTTTATCGCCACTAAGTAGGTCTTGATATAAGACCTCACTAATGTTCGGTCGAATTCAGAACGACTAGTCCTCCAACTACTCTCTAGGCGTCTTTTCCGGTGCTTCATCTCCCTCAGATCCTCGGAGAACCAAGGAGCTGGGCAGGTTCGACGCCGGGTCAGAGGCTGCAAAGGCACGACCCGATCTAAAGCATCAGCGGCCGCCCTATCCCAGGCAGCCACAAGGTCTTCTATTGAGTCGTGAGCTAGAGTCTCAGGAAATGGCCCAAGCTGATACTATATTAATTTTTAATAAATTGTAATAGAATAACATTTGTGTTTTTTTCAGTGTGATATTTTGTTTTATACTAGCTTATGACATTGCCAACTGATCAAGATTTCTCTGAGGAAAAAAGACAATTGTACAGTCATTCCTTGTTCTTAATTAACTACAAATGATTGCATTGTGTTTTTTCCAAAAGATGCTGTGACAGAATTGAACAAAGAATTTTTAGAAGCAGGAGAACCAATCACAGATGACTCTCTCATTTTGCATAAGTTTTCTTATAAGCTTGAGTACCTCTTGCAGGTAAGGACTCAGAGGAAACTAATATATTATACAGAATTAATATCAAGTATTGTGAATTTTAAATACCATTTATAGAAAAGCAGAATCAAAAACTGAGTAAAAATAAATACAATTTGCTTTGTATTTAAACAAAGAAAATCTCAGAAATTCAACTGTAAGCAGGAAATGGAAGTTATAAAATAAAAATACTGTATTTTTCGGAGTATAAGACACACTTCCCCCCCCCAAAAAAGAGGGTGGAAATGTTCATGTATCTTATACACTGAATACAGCCATTTTTGGCCTCCCTAAACTCTGTCCTGCTTGTCCCATTTTTGCGAAAAATGGGCCCGTTTTTCACAAAAACAGGGTGAACAGAGGCTTGGGAGGCGTGCAGAGTGCTCCTAGGGGCTGGGGAGGGCAAAAACGCCCCCGTTTTTGCCAGTCCCCAGAAACACTCTGCAGGCCTCCCAAACCTTCTATGTGCCCCATTTTTTGCAAAAATGGGCCCATTTTTCACCCATTTTTGTGAAAAACGGGGCGCGCAGAGAGTTTGGGAGGCCTGCAGAGTGCTCCTGGGGTCGGGGAAGGAAAAAAACCTTTTTTTTTTAACTTACCTCTTTGAAATCTTGGTGCGTTTTATACACAGGCACATCTTATAGTCTGAAAAATACGGTAACTGCAGGGTCTATTCTCATGGCTATCATTGACTTTTGTAACATAATTAACTCCTCATACTAAAGTTCAACAGAATGAGGTTGATGGCTATCTGAGTGGTTTATTTACAGATCACAAATTGCAAATTAGAATCAATGTTTTGTACACCACTGCTTTAAAAGTACCTTTTCCCCTTTTTCTGTTTCAAAGTTTAACCAGAAGGAAAAATCCACTTTACTAGGAAATCCGAAGGACTACTGGGATTATTTTTGTGACTGTCTGGGTAAGGTTAAAGGTGCAAATGATGGGATTCGCTTCGTCAAGTCTATTTCAGAAGTAAGTAAAGTACATTGCATTACATTACAACCATATACCGTATTTTTCAGAGTATAAGACGCCCTTCCCCCCCCAAAAGTGGATGAAAATTTCGGTGTGTCGTATAGACAGAAAATGGGCCTGTTTTTGGGCTCCCGAACCCTCGGCACATCATGTTTTTGCCCTCCCCAACCCCAGAAGCACTCTGCAGGCCAAAAATGGGTGTGTTTTTGGCAAAAACGTGTCGCGCGGAGGGTTCGGGAGGCCAAAAATGGGCCTGTTTTTGGCCTGCAAAGTGCTTCTGGGGGCGGGGAGGGTGAAAACGGCACGTGTGGAGGCCAAAACTTTTGTTTGTTTATTTTTTTCCTCTAAATCTAGGCGCATCTTATAGTCCAGTGCATCTTATACTCTGAAAAATACGGGTAACTTATTTTTCTGGGAGGCCAATCCAACAACGCATGTGAGGATCACTTTCTGTTTGTCAACAAGTAGACCAACACTAGTTCTTTCAGTACTTCTTTTTTTCTTCTGCGATATAAGCCAACTTGACAGCTGCTCAGCAAGTTTTGGTATTGAAGCAATGAATACACTGCACCAAACAATCTTGTCTAGGGAAAAAACTGGAGGGATCAATACTACTACTAACTTTAGTTAACACCAGCATATCCTGATGATCCATATCCAGTAAGAACATATATCCTTGTGAACATGGGCCCAAATATGGAGGAAAACAACACGAAAACATGCACTTATTCATAAATTTAAAAAAACCATCCAGTACACTGTTCCTTTGTCCTTCTTGAAGGTTTTCTATTGAATCGCCTCTAATCCTGTCATTACACTTTTTTTTTTGTAAATATTTTTTTATTTTTTTCCAAATATAAACATAAAATATAACTTTCAAGAACAGAGTTTCGATCCGGTCATAGATAGTTAACATGCTTACATTCTTTTAACATGCTCTATTCCACTTTTCCATTACATCTTTTAAAAGTTTAAAACAGGAAAAAAAAAATTAAATATAAAATTCTAACATTTTCATCTAAACAAATCTAATATATCAATACAGTTTTAGCTTCAAATTAAATTTTAGCTCATTATCTCTGTATCTATATCTCATCAATATCCAATTAATTGTTAACAATATTCTAGTCTCTTATTCTAATTATATACCTTACAATTTTATCACCAGAATTATCAAGTTCAATTTCAATACAACTCCATTTTGTTAAAATTTATAAAACACAATTTTATCAACATCTTAATTATTTGATCCTTTTTATCAAATCACAGTATATTAAACTTTCCAATTTAATATCCCACTTATTACACAGTTTTATCACAAGAACATATTACTTATTCTTTCCCAAGTTATCAACTCTTTTGAGATTATTCCCAATATTATCTCCTCCCTATCTCCCCATGTTATAGGCTGATTTCCAGCATATTGTATTTGGCTAGTTTCTAGCATAATCTTCTCCCATACTCCATCCATTGTTTGGCTGACTTCCAGCATATTTTATTTGGCTAATTTTTAGCATAGTCTTCTCCAGAACTCCTTCCATTGTTTGGCTGACTTCCAGCATATTTTATTTGGCTAATTTCTAGCATAGTCTCCTCCAGAGCTCCTTCCGTTATTTGGCTGATCTCCAGCATATTTTTCTCCAACTCTCCTCCTTTTGTTTGGCTGATTTCCAGCATTTTATTGGCTGATTTCCAGCATTTTGTGTTTGGCTGATTTACAGCATAGTCTCCTCCAACTCTCCTACCATTGTTTGGCTGATTTCCAGCATTTTAGTTATTTTCCCACTTATTTCCTCCGAGTCTCTAACTCTTATGTAGTTAGTATCCTTCATCTCATTATTTTAGCTTTCCCTTACATCATAATTATCTATTTGATCTTTATGTCTCAACATATTCATCAAAATTAATTCTCATTATATTTCATAGTAATCATTTCCAATATTTGTTGAATTAAATCACAATTTATCTCTATCATCTGTGTATTTCATAGTTTCATTCAATAATATGTTAATCAATCATAGTCACCAGTCTAACTTTGTTTGCAGAGTATTTTATTATTTATTTATTTATTATTAAATTTATATCCCGCCCTTCTCCCCAAAGGGACTCAGGGCGGTGAACGGCCGAGAATTAAAATAACATACAATATAAAAGTTAAAATAATTAAAAATAAATTAAATTAAACGGCCGCCCCAATTTAAAACCCCTAGCAATACAATTAAAAAACTAACCCATAAAACCTATTCAGGCCAGGCCGGCTTGCTGAAATAAAAATGTCTTCAGGGCCTTACGGAAAGTGCGGAGATCCGGAATCAGCCGTATTCCGGGAGGTAGCTCGTTCCAGAGGGCGGGTGCTCCCACAAAGAAGGCTCTCCCCCTGGGGGCCGCCAGCCGACATTGCTTGACCGATGGCACCCTGAGGAGACCCTCTCTGTGAGAGCGTATTGGCCAGTGGGAGGTTATCGATAGCAGAAGGCGGTCTTGTAAATACCCTGGCCCTAAGCCATGGAGCGCTTTAAAGGTGAGAACCAACATCTTGAAGTGCGCCCGGAAGACCACTGGGAGCCAGTGCAGCTCGCGCAGGAGAGGTGTTATATGGGAGCGCCATGTCGCTCCCGTGATCACCCGCGCGGCCACATTCTGGACCAGTTGGAGCCTCCGGGTGCTCCTCAAGGGGAGCCCCATGTAGAGAGCGTTAGCGTAGTCCAGGCGAGAAGTGACGAGAGCATGAGTGACTGTGCATAAGGAATCCCGACTCAGAAAAGGGCGCAACTGGTGTATCAGGCGAACCTGATAGAAAGCCCCCCTGGCCACGGCCGTCATATGCTCTTCTAAAGACAGCCATGTGTCCAGGAGGACGCCCAAGTTGTGAGCCCTCTCTGTGGGGGTCAATGACTCGCCCGCAATAGCCAGCAATGGCGCCAGCTGGCTATATCGGGATGCCGGCATCCACAGCCACTCGGTCTTGGAAGGGTTGAGTCGAAGCCTGTTCCTCCCCATCCAGACCCGCACAGCCTCCAGACACTGGGACATCACTTCAAGGGCATCGTTGGGGTGGTTTGGGGTGGAGATGTACAGCTGAGTGTCATCAGTGTACAGATGGCATCGCACCCCAAATCCACGGATGATCTATAAATGTTGGCTTCACATAAATGTTGAACAGGAGTGGCGAGAGGACCGACCCTTGTGGCAACCCACAAACAAGGCGCCTCGAGGTCGACCTCTGCCCCCCTGCCAACCCAGACTGCGACCGGTCGGAGAGATAGGAGGAGAACCACCGCAACACGGTGCCTCCCACCCCCAATCCCTCCAGCCGGTGCAGCATGATACCATGGTCGATGGTATCAAAAGCCGCTGAGAGATCTAATAGGACCAGAACAGAGGAGCAACCCCTGTCCCGAGCCCTCCAGAGATCATCAACCAACGCGACCAATGCCGTTTCCGTGCTGTACCCAGGCCTGAAGCCGGACTGGCACAGGTCTAGATAGACGGTTTCATCCAGGTACTGCGGGAGGTGTTGCACAACCACACTCTCAACAACCTTCGCAATAAAGCGAAGATTGGAGACAGGACGGTAGTTAGCCATAACAGCCGGATCCAGAGAAGGCTTCTTAAGGAGAGGCCTCACCACCGCCTCTTTCAAAGCAGGCGGCAGGAAATCCTCCCCCAAAGAAGCATTTATAATCCTCTGGAGCCAGCCTCGCGTAACCTCCCGGGTAGCCAGTACCAGCCAGGAGGGACACGGGTCCAGTAAACATGTGGTTGCGTTTAACCTCCCCAGAATCCTGTCCACATCCTCAGGAGTCACAGGATCGAACTCGTCCCAGATAACATTCTCAAGACCCGCCTCAGACACCCCGCCGGAATCTACCCAGTCAGAGTCCAAGCCTTCCCGAATCTGAGTGATTTTATCATGCAGATACTGTGCAAAATCCTCAGCCTGCCCTTGAAAGGGGTCCTCCCGCGCTCCCTGATGTAGGAGGGAGCGGGTCACTCTAAACAAGGTGGCTGGGCGATTATCTGCCGATGCAATAAGAGCGGAAAAGTAATCACACTTTGCCGCTTTTATCGCCACTAAATAGGTCTTAATATGAGACCTAATTAGTGTTCGATCGGATTCGGAGCGACTGGCCCTCCAACCACTCTCTAGGCGTCTTTTCCGGCGTTTCATCCCCCTCAGCTCCTCAGTGAACCAAGGAGCTGGGCAGGTGCGACGCCGGGTCAGAGGCCGCAAAGGCATGACACGATCCAAAGCCCCGGCGGCCGTCCTATCCCAGGCGGCCACCAGATCTTTAGTCGAGTCGTGAGCCAAAGCCTCAGGAAATGGCCCAAGCTCCCTCTGGAATCTCCGGTTCCATCAGGCACCTGGGGCAGAACCACCTAATCGGTTCCACCTCCCTGCGGTGGGGTGCAGCGGTCAGAAAATCCAGCCTCAGGAGAGAATGGTCACACCATGACAGGGGCTCAATAGCTATATCCCCTATAACCTGGCCATTCAACCACTGACCAGAGACAAAAACTAAGTCCAGAGTGTGTCCTCCCGTGTGAGTAGGGCCATGAATTAGTTGTGTCAGGTCCAAGGCCGTCATGGAAGCCATGAACTCCCAGGCCACCTCAGACGCCTCACCGGCCGACAGCAGGTTGAAGTCCCCCATGACCACCAGTCTGGGGGTATCAACTGCCACTCTGGCAATAACGTTGAGAAGCTCGGGCAGGGCCGCTGTCACGTAGCAGGGAGCCAGGTACGTGATCAGCAGGCCCATCTGCATCCCATGGCCCCACTTCACCAGGAGAGACTCACATCCGGCTATCTGCGGTACAGTGGTCTCCCTCGGATCAAGACTTTCCTTAATGACAACCGCCATGCCACCACCCCTGCCCTGGGCCCTCGGCTGATGAAATGCTCGGAAACCTGGTGGGCACATTTCTATGAGGGGGACCCCCCCCCTTGGCCCAACCAGGTCTCTGTAATACCCGCCAGGTCCGTTCCCCCCTCC